AGATTTATTGTGGATAATAATATAATAAACAATGCATTATTCTGTGATATCTGAGATAACTTTGAGTATAGGACTGACCATGTGTCAAATATCAAAACAAAGTAAGGGCTATAATAATTTTTTGATAGATGATGCATTTTCAAAACATGTTCAGTTGGGCTAGTCGTTTTAAATTGAAATCCATACTTTAGAAATGTAAAAACTTTATCCAAAGCTTTTGATGAAGAATAAAGTTTATATATATATATATATATGAGATCTCAAAGCATTGACGATTAAGATATTTGTTAAAAAACTCCACGTTATTTAATTTTTCTACATATTATAAACGGCAATGAAAATATCTGTTGATGTATGATAATTGGATCGGAATTGGACTGGATTTTTGGGGAGAGTGAGAGCAAGATTGATTGCAAACATTGTAGTGAGCAATCTTCATTATATTGACCACATCAAAAATTAATTGATTAATAATAATTTCTCTTTCTTTAAGTTTATTTATTAATCTGCGCTAGAACTAAGGTGATCAAGGAAATGACACCATGATGAACTTTCTGGACCACGATGCCAATTACGATGTCTTCATTTTTCAAATTTGTTTTGATAGTGGTGTTGATCATGATAAAGACTGTGAAATGTTGTCGAAAAGTACTATCCTCTGGATGCTGAAAAATAAAACGTGCCTCCTTTTTGCAGTTGTTGTGGAATGAAAAACTTGGCCGTACGTCGTCGAATAATGCTGTGAATGATTTCTACAGGATTATCACTTAAAGAGGCGAGATCATATCAATCATTGGATGATTTGTCTCCATCTAATAAGAGATACCAAGATTTGTGATAAATTGGTCATTGAGATGTTTCATAATCAACTCATAATCAAAAGTTTTTGGATTCAATGCACCATTACGTGGTATTGCTGACATGTTGGGACATAGATTTGCTATAATAGTAGCCATATGCACCACCCAAGGTGTAGTGATAGTCTCTGGATGTGAATGCTATGATATTTTGTAAGTGCATTCTCTACATACTTCTTATGTTCATGAAGATATTTATTGTGTCGGTAACGATAATGATGGGTTGACTTGAATATAGGCATCAATTTTGAGTTAACATAGGTCTTGATGGTAATATGACAAACACATCAACAAAATGAAATCACAACTTTCTATACTACAATTTGTGTCGCACTTCCATTTTTGAAAAATTAAAGGATCTATATATATATACGATACCAATAAAGTTTAGTCAATGACTAGGCTATTTTTGCTGTAGGTGAATAATAATTAATTAATTAAATAATCGTTTGGTAAAGTAAAAAAACTACTAACCGTTATTAAATTTTTAATCAGTGTAAGTTAGTAGTACAAAAGAGACTGGTACCCCGGCAGGTCATTTTTCCAACGACTCATTTCACTAACTAAACTGTAATAACAGCATATCCGGCTAATAAATAGTTTAACAGATTTATGATAATAAATGGCTTGATATTAACAGATTAGCCGGCTAATCGGTTAACATCATCATCAGATATACATTATTTCTTGATAATGATATGGACATGGCAAGAAAACAAAAATATATTATGGTAGTACAAAAAATAATAATTTTGGGTCCTATTTTCTCCTATTTTGGTACATGTGATCTCCTATAATAGAATAATTAAAATTGTAACCAGAACTGGGTAGATTATTTAATTGATACATTTATAATATGTTTTTTTTATGTAATAGCAAGTACGAATCGAATATCAATGAAATCACGTCATCAAATCGCTACCTTTTATGGTAAAGCGGGAGAGTCGTGCATTGTAAATAATCTGAATTTTGATACAAAATAAACAAAATGATATAATGACATAACAAGATGATATCAGTTTTTATTATTTTTTTTTTTTAATCAATCAACATATGAATTGAATATTAATGGAATCATTTATTTTTTTTTTTAAATCTAAAATGACGATTAGAAAAAAATAATATTCCCATGAAATCTTATATAAATACCAGTGTCTTTTGCTTCATACGAAAAAAAAAAATAATAATAATATTCACAATGAAATACCACAACTACAAATAAAAACACTAATAATAAAAATAATAATGGTGAAAATAATGATGAAAAGCTCTAGGTAATCAATCAATTAATTAAACATTACGAACACTTACAAAACCAAAATATTATATTTTATTACATACAATTGCCAATTAATTAATTCGTTATTATTCTTTTTAATATATGTATTGTAGACACTCTCCTTCACATTCATTTTCTCCTCGACATTAAAATTAACATCATCAATATCGTCAACATCAATTCTCTCTCTTCCTCTCGTCATCATCCTCCTCCTCCTCCCCTCTCATCATCGTCACCAACATCGCCGTAATCCTCCACATATTCCTTTAGTTAGGAAGATGTATATATGTTTTAAACTAAAGGAGTGTGAGCAACAATGGAAGGATTATCGCCAACAACAAAACTGATCCGGAAAATCCTCTCTCCAGTACAACCAAGGAGAAGTGGGAGAACAACAACAACAACAACAATGTCAGGAACTAGGTAATCAATCAATTAACAAACATTGCGAACGAACACTTACAAAATCCAAAAATATTATATTTTATTGATTATAATTACTATTGTCGACTAATTATTTTCTTATTATTTTAATACACATGTAACAGAGAGGCTCCTATTGTTGTAGATACGCCATCCCCATCCCCACCCCCACCCCCGTCCCCGTCCCCACCACTATCACCATCTCATCAACATCACGCTCTTTCTCATCACCATTCTCCTCCTCGTCGCACTCATCACCATCATCACCACTCTCCTTCCCCTCCCATTCCCTCTGATTCCTCGACAGGTCGAGGGAGATGTTGGAGAGGCGAGGAGGGAACACCACCAAAAACAACAATTAATAAGAAAGCCAAGTCGACGCACCATCACCAACAACAATAGAGGCAATAGTAATAATAATAATAATAACAGTAGTAGTAGTAAAAAAATTTAATTTTTATTTTAAATAAAAAAATATATGCAATTCTAATTATAATGAGATTTTAATTTACAAATATTTCTAACAAGTTTTGAAAAACTATTTGTTAGTACACAAATTATTCATCTATTATTAATAAATATGTTATCAATTATTCCTTCACTCAAACAAATAATTGTTCACTATTTGGAAATTTGTAATGATTCCACGTTGAACCAATTCCTTAATAAACGTTCTGGTTTTAGGGCAATTATTATTATTAATTCAAATTATTCGTTTTATTATTATTCATAACGAATAAAACAAACAATTCGAGTAAACCTTATTCAAATAGGAACCCTAACGACGTTCTATTTTTTTCAATTCATATATAAAATTCATAACAAGCACATCGTCTCCACCAACTTTTAAACACATGAAACTCGTATTGTTTCAGGGTTCTAAACTACAATGCCTTTGAATAATTAAGTCTATGCCTCCAGAAAAAACTCGTCTAACCAGGACAACTGGTTGCCATAATAAGTTTATTAGAGATTAATAATCAAAGTGCAAAAATTAGAATACCAGAGACCAAGTAGTCTCTAGCATAAAGTCCCGAGCCGAAATTCTTCGGTTTGACTTTTTAGAAATCGAAACCGAACCGAGATATCCTGAAATCTTATTAAAGAAAGAGATTCTTTTGATGTGCTATCCAAATCAACAAAACTTTGTGATGACCAATTTCCACATTGATATTATTGACTCTTTCAATCCCCGTTCTTTCAAATAACTATCTCATCAACATAAAAATCACTTCTTTTGAGAATTTCTAATAAAATTGATTGGTCTTTCCAATGATTTTCACAAAAATAGACATTCTTCAACTCCTTAAGTTTTGCCGCACGTCTTTCCCTAGACCAAATTGATCTGCTGCAATTATTAGCTCTAATTATCAAAATCAAATTAAATATATAAATCCATATATTCAATAAATATTAGCATTCTCAACAAAATATAATTTCCATTTTCTTTTGTTGCATTGCTAGAAATGGACAGTGAGTAGATATAATAGATGTATGTGCGCACGAACTTCTTTGATGAACATCAACATCTTTCATTTTTGAAAGAAATTTTTTTGCTATTGAGAATAAAATGAAAATAATAAATAATATATAAATATTTATTTGAAAAACTTCCAATTCATTAAATTGGCTTTGATATATCTTGATGGTATTGCAAGTATATAAATCCAATCATCTGTATGAAAAAAAAAGAACGTCACTATTCAACACCTTTACTATTATAAGAATGACCCCAAACTGCATGTTTATGATTTCTATTACGTATGTTAAATATAAAACTTATATAGTATACTTAGGTATCCAATTTCCACTTCTTCCTCCATTCCAATCAAGTTGATTATAACCACCAACCATTTGCTCTGAATTCTGTATTTTACCAACTACAAGGGTTTTGTTGATGTTATCACATTTTTGGTAATTGTCTTGTTTGTAGAGGAAGGTTGGGGCGTTTCAGTAGATGTATCTTCACTATAAAACGCATCCAATATGACATTTAATATTTTAAATTTCTTATTCACAAAATACTCAAATTGTAATGATATTTATTGAGAGAAAAACATAAATAAATCATATAAAAATATGTTCTATGAAATAAACAATAATAAATAAATAAAATAAATGTACAAGGTTGAAAATTATTTTGGAGCCCAATTATAATTAACCAAATAATTAAGTTGCCTTTTTTTGCTATCAAACTGCTTTTTTGCATGTTTAGCTTGAACCTCTTTACGTTTTGCTGAATTATTTTCCCATTCATTTAACAATTTTTTCTCTTTACTATTAAATCCAATACATCTCTTTATTGCCAACTTAATCTGATGTGACTCACTAAGTTCGTAAACATTCTCCAACAACCATCTTATTTGCTCAATATGTTGCAATTTTGCTGCTAATGATAATACTGTGTTATTTTCTTTATCAATTGCTGTCGTATCCACATTCTTATCAACCAACAGCTCTAAACAAGTGCCTGGCCAATTAGATCTAATTGCTAAAAATAATGAGTTCGGCGCATGGAAATGATCGCCTGATAATGTGTTGTTGACATCAGTTGGCAGGTTTGGATCTGCTTTATTTTTCAATAAGACATTTATTATTGGTATTTTGAGATTGTGTTCATGGGATTCTTCCAAATAATAAGACAACACTGTTCTTGATTTGATATCCAGTGCATTGACATCGCACCCCAGCTTTGTCAAAAAATTAATTGCCCGAATAACATATTTGCTTGCAATACTATCTTTAGAAGGTTTCTTCATCAGATTGATGTTTTCAGATAACATGTGTAAAGCAGTTTTGAGTGTTTTGGTTGAAGTTACATGAAAATCTGCATTACAATGCTTCAAACATTCAAACATCTTGATAATGCTCCTTCTTGGACAATACCTGGATGTGATGATTATTAGTTTTTCTTTTTTTAGGTCCATGAAATCATACGTGTCTTCTACACCGGATCCTTGCTGAATATGCCACAGTAAACCTTCGGTATCACCTAATGCTGCATGTATGCCTGCATGACATTTGTCCGGTTTTTTGTGATATTGCATGCCTAAATCTTTTAATGTTGCATCGCAAGTATTCTTGTAAATAATATCTGTTTTGTGCATGGTATTTTGTATTTGTAAGTATGGATTGAATATTAATTAACCAAAATAAATAAATCAATGATTGATTGATTGATTGATTAAATTAATAGTCAATGAAATGAATTCATTTTTACATTAAAAAAAAACATACTTTGTTGAGATGAGAGAATAATATTTGTTTCAGAACTTTTGGTGGACTCGGTCGCAGCAGTTGCAGGTGTTGATGGTGATAAATTCAAAGTTTGTTGTTTATCAGGAAGTAAATAATAATCTAAAAGATTTTCCCATAAATCCTTTGGAAAAAGTTTCTTAAAAGGCAAAATTTTGTAACGAAAATCCTCATTAGAGATATTCTGGAATCGAATCAAAGAAATTAGCTCTTTTAAAGTGTTTCCTAAATCAGCAAAATTTTGTTTTGTCCAAAGATTAACATGATTAATATCATTAATTTCTGGATGCTTGGCTAGTCCCCATTTAAGAATACTTTCCCAAATGATTGTTCTATCAACATAAAAATCATCTCTTTCAAATATAGCTAATAAAATTGGTTTTTCCAATAATTCAAATTCACTTGACCCAAATAAATTATCACTAGAACCACAAAATTTTTTAAGATAAATATTTTTCAATTCCTTAAATTTTTCTCCATTAGAGTAGATTGATCTTAGAACTTTGATTGGATTTTCTTTAATGTAATTCTCATGATTTTCAATAAAGTACTTTAATGTGTGTTTGTAAAATGGTTCAAGGCCAAACTCATCAGCTGAAATCAATAATTGCAATACATCTGCTCCATTAAACTCATCTAATTCCATTTTACAAGTATATAAAAACCTTTTAAATATAAAACAATAATAATATTATTGGTATTATCATTAAATTAAAAAAATAAACAAATGGTAAAGTCATTATTAACAATATAATAAACCTACTTGAGTATTGTCTTAAAGGCCAATTCATTAAAATTTGCTTTCTGAATAATATAATATCCATTTTCTTTTTTTGCATTCATTAATGCATCTCGAAAAAAAGGACAATGAGCGCATATAATTGATGAATGTGCATGAACTTCTTTAATATTTGGTTCTATACCAACACAAATTTTTACATCATAGAAATCTTCTGTATTTAATAATTTTTCATTTTCATTAAAATAAATTTCAAAGTTAGTTGAATCCATTTTTAAATTAACCGTTTAGAATTCCTTTTTTTTTGTATTGATCACCATTATTTAAATGCGGTATCACCTTGACGGGACGATTCAATTACATTCCTTAACGAGACTTTAGCAGAGAATATGCAGCAAGCCTTTTTATATTCAGCGTAAGAAAGAAACTAGTTGGTGCTACGCTGCGTTATCCTTTTTTGTTTAGAGAGTG